TGGGTAACAGTGTGAAAGCACTTGGTCAATAATAAATACGTCCCAATTACACCACATGAGCTCCTGCTGCAGGCCTGTGCGGCGCCACACCTGCCGACTCCCTCAAATACCTGAAATTACCACGGCGCCCTCACGCCGAGCCGGTGGACCACGGCGTACGCCGACTGCATCAACAACAACGAGGATTTACAGCACAGCTACGTGCGGCCACAGACATAAACTCACACCTGCAGCTGCTGCGCTGAATTCATTTTCCATCACAGCAGAGAGGTTGAACGTCAGGGTTTGATCCCCTCTGATGACTCGCGGTTGGGGTCTGATTTTTTTTTAGGCAACCATCCCTTCCCCTCCCCCTGTTCTCTTCTCTTCACAGAGACAAGACTTGACATCCAGGTGTTTTATAGTATTTGTGGCTCTGATCATCCATCAAGCCGATCGATCACTCTCCCAGCAGCTTTTATTAATGATCTTGTCAGCCGGCCCGCTCTTGGGTGCAGCCGCTTGTCCAGAATGATAGATCATTAGCTAGTCTGCCTGCTATTTATTCTCTCATGACCTTGTCTCTCTCCATTGCGGAGTTGGCCAAGTTATGAGACGTAAAACGTATTAATTCAGTATTGATTCTGTTTTTAATTTATATTTGGGCCTTATGAGAATGCAAAAGTGCAGAGTGTCGGAAAAAATAAAAACCCTGCTCACTTCAAAGGGCATGCTTGAATTGTATTTTTTTTTAAAAAAAATAAGAACATAGGACGTGTATTCCCTTCTGTTGTGACGGTGCAGCCACTAACAGGGTACAGTGGTGTGGTCACCTACTGGAGAGCTGCCCTCTAGAGGGACAGTGATCAGGATGTTACTGCAATGGAAATTTAGAAATGTATTAGGCAAGAAACGCAGTAAGTTTAATTAATTAAATTAATGAATATCTGAGGAAAAATTACAAAATTCTGAATGAAAGCTATTATCCATGAAATGCGGACAGACTCGCCGCATTGTCATATGACTCCTGGTGGCTGACTGCGGTAAAGGCGATAGGAAGCCTGACAGGTAAAGGAATGCTAAAAATGCATTACATTTTCTAATTAAAAAATATTTAAAAAAATAAACCTTAAATATTAATGTTAGACAAAAAAGTGATTTTTCAAACCCCAAGGTATCTGTCCAGAAAGATTCTGGCCCTCTGACAAATATAGTTGGAGACCCTTTGCCATATTACTGAAATTAATACCATTCAGTAAAGAAGTATTGAGGCTCCAGGTGGACGAGGAAGAAAAGGAAGAGGAGCAGAAAGACAAAGGTGGACTGAGAGAAAAGGGCAGAGAGATAAGAGAGAGAAAAAAACGAGAGAGAGAGAGAGAGAGAGCGAATCAGCAGGAGTTTGCACAAAGCCTGAGGCTGAGTCACTGATGTGGAAGAAGCTTCAGAATAAACATGAGCTCTATGTAAACAATAACCTGCCGTGACAAGCATCTCCTCTGTGTCCACCCAGAGCTGCAGGTTGCATGGATTCACTGTTGTGCTTTTGAATACGTGTGTGTGTGTGTGTGTGTGTGTCTGCTGGATTCTCAGTGAGTGTTGTTCTTCCTGCATCACTGACACCCACTGTCACCTGGACCACAAATCTGCACTCTATTGTGACCATCAAAAGTGTGCACATAGAAATGTGCTGTCTGAGATTACACTCACACTATAGACTTATGATAAGCAGGAGGGGTTTAAATGAAATGACAAAACAACCAACGCAGAAGTCAATGAAGGAATGAGTGGGTATTGTTTTTGAGCGGAGCGTCACTACAGTTAAAGTGAAGCCTGAGATATAAGAAACGTTTATTAAACTAAAACCATTTACTATTTTTGAAATTCTCAGAAGAAAAATCTCAGAATTGCCTCAAAATGAGAATTTGAAAAACATGAACAAGAAATATATTCAAAACCTATCTATTCGTCTATCTGTCCATCTATCCAATTAATCCATCTATCTATCTATCTGTCCGTCCATCCATCCATCTATCTGTCTGTCCATCCATCCATCTGTGCATCCATCCATCCATCTGTGCATCCATCCATCCATCTGTGCATCCATCCATCCATCTGTGCATCCATCCATCCATCTGTGCATCCATCCATCCATCTGTGCATCCATCCATCCATCTGTGCATCCATCTATCCGTCTGTCCATCCATCTATCTATCTGTCCGTCCATCCATCCATCTATCTATCTGTCCGTCCATCCATCCATCTATCTGTCTGTCCATCCATCCATCTGTCCATCCATCTATCCGTCTGTGCATCCATCTATCTATCTGTCCATCCATCCATCTGTGCATCCATCTATCCGTCTGTCCATCCATCTATCTATCTGTCCCTCCATCCATCTGCCTGTCCATCCAGCCGCTCCACAAAAGGTGTATGACAACGATTCACTAATGTTAAAAACAAACCAATCCCTGCGGTGAACTGCACTGATAATTCTCCATCCTTGTACTAATGTAGGTGAGACCATAAAGGGCAGCTGGGATTAAGTTGCCTATTCTTCTGGACATTTTCACATGTATCCAAGTGTGACCTAAATCTAAACGTGTCAGTTTGATGCCCCACTGTTATCTGTCCACTCTTTGATCTGCAAACAGTCAATCTTTTTGGTCAGCCTTTAGCCAGGTGCACGCTGGAAACAGCTTTAGAAAAGCCGCTGGAGGAAATGAATCTCTGATTGAATGACGCCGACTTCAATCAGTGTGCCTGATGTAATAAAAACCTCTTTCTCCAAATCTAATAATGTTTCCTTGCTTTGCCCGCATCCACCGCCACCTGATTCCTGCTCTGACATCATCATCTGAACAATAGGCTAAAATTAGGTCCCCAAAATAAAAAGCCGCTCCTCTGACAACAACGGAATCGAGCTCGTCTCGTCCACGCGTTTTTCGACTTCTGCACAGGGCGGAATCGACACGAGCTCTCATCCACGCGTTTTTCGACTTCTGCACAGGACGCCGAACAACCTTACCCGTGTCCCCCAAAACCCACTCTTCAAAACCCAGGGGCCCAATAAGCAGCCAGCTGTAGACAAGCTCTTTCTCCATGCTCCGGCAGACTCAGACAGGAGAGGGTGTGAACGGATGTGTTTGTCTAAAAGAGAGAAAGATGAAGGAGACGTGGTTCAAGGGCACCGGCGCTCCATCAGGCTTCTGTCTGGGGAATATCCTTCTCCGTCCCCCGTGTGAGCAGAAGACGAGCTCCGGACCGCGTGTCTCGGACACACACACACAGTTAACAATCCTCCAAACTCAGCCGCAGCCTCAACCTTCCCACCCGTGGCCCTGCATAATGTTAAAAACAAACCAATCCCTGCGGTGAACTGCACTGATAATTCTCCATCCTTGTACTAATGTAGGTGAGACCATAAAGGGCAGCTGGGATTAAGTTGCCTATTCTTCTGGACATTTTCACATGTATCCAAGTGTGACCTAAATCTAAACGTGTCAGTTTGATGCCCCACTGTTATCTGTCCACTCTTTGATCTGCAAACAGTCAATCTTTTTGGTCAGCCTTTAGCCAGGTGCACGCTGGAAACAGCTTTAGAAAAGCCGCTGGAGGAAATGAATCTCTGATTGAATGACGCCGACTTCAATCAGTGTGCCTGATGTAATAAAAACCTCTTTCTCCAAATCTAATAATGTTTCCTTGCTTTGCCCGCATCCACCGCCACCTGATTCCTGCTCTGACATCATCATCTGAACAATAGGCTAAAATTAGGTCCCCAAAATAAAAAGCCCCTCCTCTGACAACAGCGGAATCGACACGAGCTCTCATCCACGCGTTTTTCGACTTCTGCACAGGACGCCGAACAACCTTACCCGTGTCCCCCAAAACCCACTCTTCAAAACCCAGGGGCCCAATAAGCAGCCAGCTGTAGACAAGCTCTTTCTCCATGCTCCGGCAGACTCAGACAGGAGAGGGTGTGAACGGATGTGTTTGTCTAAAAGAGAGAAAGATGAAGGAGACGTGGTTCAAGGGCACCGGCGCTCCATCAGGCTTCTGTCTGGGGAATATCCTTCTCCGTCCCCCGTGTGAGCAGAAGACGAGCTCCGGACCGCGTGTCTCGGACACACACACACAGTTAACAATCCTCCAAACTCAGCTGCAGCCTCAACCTTCCCACCCGTGGCCCTGACCAGCTTCCAGGCCTGGCGTGGGTGGTTAGGTGGGGCAGGGCTGGGATTTGGTGGGGGCACTGGAGCTGTCCTCTGGTGCTCCTGCAGCCCTGTCTGCTCATCCATCCTAGGCTGCCAACCCGCAGATCGATACCAGTGCTCTCTTAATCAGGTCTCTGGTGACTGTGGGTGGATGAGTGTGTGTGTGTGTGTGGACGGTAGGTTGTACTGGCTGAAAGTTGCATTTGTGTTTCTCTCCCTTCACACCTCGAGCTGTGTTCCTCACATCTTTTCAGCCACGTTAAACGCACGTCACTTGTCCGAGCTCTCAGACCGACTTTCTGCTTTTGCATTTTCACCTCTTTCATCTCCATCCTTTTATCAACGACTTCCTCACGGCTCTTGTTAAGGCTCAATGTTTTCCTCTTTTAACGCGCTCCATGCTAACTAGGGCTCATTCCAAAGGCGTCACGTCGTCAATCTATTTTGACTTGTGATGAAGAAAGAAGAGAAGGAGGATCTGGAGAAATGGTGATCAGAAAAGGAGAAGAGGTGAGAAGAGCAGAGCAAGAGGATCAGTCGGATGGAGAGCGGGGCATCCAGCTGTGGTGTTGTGCCTTGCTAGCAATCTGCCCTCAGGCTCTTATCACACCTGCATAACCACAGCTGCACACACACACGCACACACACACACGCACACATGCAAAGGAAAAAACAAAGTTATGAACCTCATTCAGGAAAAAGCAAAACATAAACAACAAATAAGCAAAAGTATTTCAATTAAAATTGTATTTGTAGATTTATAATTCAAGTACTTTTCAAAG